TTACATATATAGGTACTACATGTGGACCTCTCTCAGATTTGTTCCTTTTGTGATGATATCTTTAGTTCTCTAATTTTGGTGAATACTTTTGTAATTTTTGGTAAAAAGTGATATTTTTACTTCTTGTTAAAAACCGCAAGTCTGATTACTTTGATACATGTACTATACATATTGTTCATTTTCTAATGATATCTTCAGTTCTTTAATTGAAGTGTGCCTTGCTAACAGCTTGGCTATCTCAGCCGACAGGCTGCTTGTAATTACCATGTGTTCCACAAGTTGTATGTGATCCATATGGAACACTAACATTTTTGTTTTTAATATGCTTCATTTCTGTCATATATGTATTTTCTATATAATAACCTTGAATATTTCATTTACACACTCGCCATACAATGTTGTTGGTGATTTTTGGGTTGACTATCAGTTTTGAGGTTGATTTATTTTAAGAGCTCTTGTAGTATTTTAAATGGATTAATTTTTAGGATGATATTACTGTATAAATGCTTGCTTTTTTCAATTATGTGTATATTTTCTGTCATTTTTTCACTTTCTATCATCTCCCCACCCCTCTCTTTTTTAAATTATTAATTTTCACTTTTAGTTGGTTTATTGATAATTCTACACATTTGAAGTTTTAAACGCATTATCCTCCTCCATCAGCATTCAGCGTTCAAATACATTGTATGCAAAACAGCAAGTAGAATTGTAATATATTTATATTCTGTCTGTATTTATATTTGAAAGGTTCTGCAAGCCTGTAAAACCAACAGAGTATGATTTATTGTGTGTACTTTATTATCATCTCAGCGTCTGTCTCTTCTCATACACACATGACTTATGGTTTTAATGACTTTGTACTATTCAGCAGATATATGTGTAACATGTAATCCAACTAACGTTTTTTTTTCTGTGACATGTATGTATGTGTACTTAGAGAGAGGTACAGAGGACAAGGGGTGGGTTCCCTGTCAATTCCTAATTTTCGAGTTGTTAGTTTTCTACAGAATTCCGCTAGAGGGCGCATCCAAAATATCCGGATGACGAGCCTGAGTGGGGTTGTTTTTATTGAAGTTCTGTATTCTTACATGCGTAAATCAATAGATTGGATAAGCCAAAAAAAATCCAGAACTTCGCAAATTTCTTCAGGATCGTAGTATAACTTGCAGCAATGTTCATAAAGCTAAACTTTTTGAACTTGTTGAGTTAGGAAACGAGTTAAATGTTCGCCAAGAGTCAAACAATCATCGTACTGTAAAACACGGTGAGTCGACGATAACTCTGGTAGATCTGTGTAACGTAAAATCTTGGCAAAAAAAACCTTCATACTTTGCCTTTGTTTGAAATAGCTGATATGTTCGCATATTTGTTGCATCGAAGTGACTGGACAACAGCCAGACTGAAAGAATATCGACTTGATAAAGGTTAATTACTTCGAATCATCATTTTCGTAAAGCTTCATCATGTGCAGAATACAGAATTTATTTTCATTATGGCAGAGTGTATTCGGCAATGGTCCATGAAGGAAAATCCTTACAAGCCATGGTTTATTATTAAATCAAACTCTAAAATAGTTTCTGGTGTAACTGTGTAGAGTAAGTTTGATTTAATATTTTATTCACCAGGCGATCAGCAGATGCAGTTATCATAAATGGACACGCGTTTTTTCCTTCCGTAGTTATTTTAACTTCAACTTCGCAACAAATGCCATCATAAGGATTCTGAACAAGAAGATCGATGTGGGAATTGGCAACGAGCGAATTTTCCATCAAATCCGGCTCAATGTTTTTGTTTGCGCTCGTCTCGGGAAGCTGACAGAGTCTTCGTTTTTCAATCGATGTATAACTGGGGTTGAAAGACGGCTGTCTCCAGTTATTGAACTAAAAAATACTGGCGCAGGATGGAAAATGCCGTGAACAAACCCGGGAATATAGCTTGGCGTCCACTCAGGTTCCCGACGACGCATTCGAATTCACTGGCGTTGAAGTATTGATTTCTTGGATGAAAGAAATGTATGAAAAGTTACGCCTTTCATCTCAGGATATTTTGCTGTTTTTTTTTTTAATTTTAATTTTGATTTTAATTTTGTTTTTAATTGAACCCCAGGAATGGCCTGGGGCATTACAATACCAGTTAACCATTTTGACCAATTCTTGCAAAAAATAAGACTTCGGCAACAGTAACTACTAGTATATTGCTTACAGCAGACGCCGCTTAAATTTCAACCCCACCACGAACGTTGAATGGACTGTCATCCGGGTACTTTGAGAACGCCCTCTATCGAATTTCGTGCGAAAAATAGTAACTCGGAAATTAGGAATTCTTATTGCTTTTATACTTGGTGTATATGTACCTTGGGCAGACCTCTCTTAGATTTGTTCATTTCATGATGATATTTTCAGTTCTCTAATTTTGATGAATATTTTTGTCATTTTTGGTAAAAAGTGATATTTTCGACTTCTTGTTAAAAACCGTGAGTCTGATTGCCATGATGCTATACATACAAGTACCTCAGATAGACCTCTCTCAGATTTGTTTCATTTTCTAATGATATCTTCAGTTCTTGAATTGAAACAAGCATTGCTAACAGCAGAGCTATCTCAGCGAGGTTTCTAATGCTTGTTTTCTAATGTATTTGATCTTGTATGGTGTGAAACAAGGTACAATATAGATTCAGAAGAATAAAGCCTAAATTTTGTTTTTTCTAAAATTTGATGACCCTATGTTGTCAAGTTAATAGAAAAGTACATGCTACTGACAAGTCATTCAAAAATTGTGTATGATAAATTATGCAAAATAAAAGTAAAAAAAAATGTTCATTTTGAAACATAGGAATCCATGTATGATGATGTAAGCACATTGTTCTATGGATACCCCCGGTAGCTTACACTAATAATTTTCTATTTTTTGGGCAGCCATATAACACTACACATATATTTAGCATAGGTCACCGAACAAAATTTCGAAGTATGATGAAATGTTTCTGTCATAGGAGCTAATTGTAAACTATTTTTGATAATTTTTTTCATTTCGTGGAAAACTTCGGTAATCCTATATTTTTATTTCAGAATTTTGAACATTACAGTAACCCAAACCCACCTTGCTGGGTTTCAAGAATTTTAGAGTATTTTTTTTTATGGGAGCAAACTACCTTATATAATTTTATGTCACATGCTGTCGTCAAAACTATCACACCATAGACAATACATTTATACTACCATATTTTATTTATTCTAAATATAAATTATAATATAGTTTCTTGCATATAATGTTTCATTAATGCTCTATGCTAATTTTATTCCCAGTCGTCAAAATAATGTAGTAAACAATTTACTTAATTTTAATTCTTCAGGTTCCTGCGAGTTTGTATGAAAACAAAAAAATGACATCCCGGTTATCTTGTGAAAGCATGGCTCAGCGAGGAAAAAGACAATATCCCTGTGACATATGTGGAAAGTGGTTCTCACAGAAAGGTAGCATGAAGTTACATCAGAGAATCCATACTGGTGTAAAACCGTACATATGCGGTACATGCGGAAAGACGTTCACTCTGAAGATGTACTTGAATGTACATGAAAGAACCCACACTGGTGAAAAACCGTACTACTGCATTGAATGTGGCAGTACCTTCTCCCAGAAGAGTAGTCTCAATGTTCACGAACGAATACACACAGGGGAACAACCGTACAAGTGTAACACGTGTGGTAAACACTTTGCAGTCAAATTATATTTGAGAGCCCATGAGAGGACTCATACTGGTGAAAAACCATATCTATGCCAAATATGTGACAAGGCATTTACTCAGAAAAGTAGTTTAAAAACACATGCAAAATCTCATACCTGAAGATAAAAATGCTATTCTGTGGGAGGTGGGGAATAGATACCTATGAGAACAGTGGGTGTAGCAGTATCAAATGTGAGTCCCATGTGATGTATACAATGCGTGTAAAACAATGCTTGCGCTACAATGGCCGCTACACTTTAAAAAAACATAGATATTTCATGAATTACCCTACATTGTCAGATTTATACTTCTGGTAAGTAAACTCGTATAGTGATTTTGTTCTGAGCCTTTTGCAAGGAACAAATAAAAATTACTACACCAGTTTAACCTTTTCACCACTAGACTTTCTCACCCAAATTTTTCTGCACTTTTTTTCTTATGTTCTTCAATATTTCTAGAAAGGAACCCTAATTTTGGAACCAGAGGCAAAATTTGAGTTGATTTTCAGTTTCTACTCAAAAATGTTTGCTATTTTTCTTTCAATAGAAACTGCATACTATAATTGGGACTTCTGGCGAAAAACTTGTGGTGTTAATAATTCTGTTGGTCATAAATTTCATTACCTGTTTAACTAATAAATCTGATTTGCATCTTCTAAAAGCTAAAAACTGACGTTATCGTCGCTTGGAACTCATTTCTTGTATGTGTATAGGTTAAACCCCTCTGCTTTAAGGTTGGGGGAATCTGAAATGAAGTTTTAAATATATTTATATAACACAAACAGCTGATATCTGAAACTACCTGAAATATTCAAATTATTGTTATTTCTATTAATATTTCAAGAAATATTCTGTAAAACAAGCAACATATTGATTCATTGGTGTATTTTGTGATACTTGGCCATGATTGACCAATCAAGTTACAAGGATTTTCAATCATAGTTTTGAGGTATATGAAATAATTACACTCACCTGCTATGATACGAGATTAAACATGATATAGAACATTATTGCTTATATCTAGTAAATGTAATGTAATACTGTATCGAGAACACTGCTTTCTATAAAAGTTGCAAGTTATTTTCATCACTTAACAGTACGATATTTTGCCAAAGTATTAAAAAAAATTGTGGACCCTGTAATTTGTTCATCCTGCTTAGAAGTGTAATGAACCATTTTCCCTTTACTGCGAGATCCTGCATTATGCACGAAATTGAATGAAAAAACAGAACAAAGTAAAATGGTGTCAAAACATTGGTTTCGACAAACGTAAAACTATTTTTGGTGTATTTCCATGCTCAGTAATATTATTGACTGGATTTTATTTTTTCTATTTTCACGTACAAGTAAAATCCACTAAATTAAATCTACATAAACATGTAATATAACAATAAAAACTCATTGTTTCTTTGACAAATTTGTGAAATTAAAACACAGTGAATATACTCAACACATCAATAAATTGTGAATTTAATGAAATTAAATGTCCATGAAAATAAATGATTTTACAGTATATACATTGATGATGGTAAAGATAACTCGATGCCATATTCTCTTCCGAAAGATAAAAAATTTGACAGTGACCTATAAAAAGAGAAATTCAAGTTCAAAATCAGATCATTTCACCACATTTTCACGCATTATGCAACATCTCGCAATGAACCGGAAAATCACCCATTGTTAGTAATATTCTTGGCAGTGCAATAGACAATGCATGCATGAATGAATTTTCAACTTACAAATCGCACAATGAACAGTTTTATGAGAAGGTTTCTTTGCTTGTTTTTGAGGTACACATCAGAATAGCACGTGTCTATTAGTAATGTTTAACAAGTGTTTCACCCTGGATCAAAAGTTTTAAAAAAATTCTGATTTTGGACTGTGATGTGAAATTTTTTTTGATAAGAATGGAGTAAAAATGACAATTTTTTATTTGAAAACTGAAAATGCAGTAGATATATTTGTTTTTATATTACATTTTTTTAACAGTAAGAGTTTTGTATAGTATATCATATTTGAATTATTCAGGGTGTAATTTTATGGTAGTCAATATAGTGAAATTGTGGTGTTGGTAGTAGTATGTAACTTATCAGTATCTGAAAACTGTTGTAGTGAACTAAAATAATGTTATTTAATAAATAACCATCTGGTAGAGTGAACAATTGCTTCAATTTAATTGCTCATTTGCATATAATAGTGATACATTAGTGCCTGAACTTGCAGACCTTGACTAAGGTTCCCTCGAAGTCACATTCCCTGAGCCCCCTTCCCAATCGAGTCTGTGACATATTCAACTCCTCTTTGTAGGACTCGTACACAGAACCTACCATTCATTGAACCAGTGCAGTCATTATTAGCTATCTGTGATCAGTTCGTTCACATGTATTTGTTGTTACATGTACATCAGTCCCATGATGGCTGTGTTAGTGTGCCACAGATTGAAGGAAGGGAGGAAAGTCTTCTAATGATTCTGGTGCTTTTGTTAACCCAGGCCTGTTGATACTTAAAGTAGATACCCCGGTAGTGTAATAAATGTACATATCAGTACTCAATTAGTTTAAGGTTGAAATCCATGTATATTAATTACCGAATTGAATAAATTAAGCAACTTGCTGATATCACAAGGGGTACTTACCCTAAACTTGGTACAGAAGTAGTCAAGACTACTCCACAGATGTGTATTTATATTGAAGTTGTCAAGGTATCCCAAAATCCACTAGTCACTTTTCAACGAAACATGATACATAGGCAGTCTGAGGTACTCCATGTATGTGATTAGTTTAAGAATGGAATATTCACATTAATTAATGCTTTCAATACCCTAAGCACACAGGATTTATACAATTTGTTATATTGACCCTGGACACCTGTATGTCACTGGTGTTATTACTATTTACATCAGTGTATCATTGTAAATAATTCTTCTTTTTATAACCTACTGTGAGATGAATAAACCCTGCATATATAATTTGTGGTCCATATCTAGAAATGATAAATATAATGTAGATTAGATGTTGCCCATTAAAAAAAATTGCCAAAAATTATGAAAAAAGAATTCTGCAGGGAAAAATATAACTGAAACCAAATCCTAAATGCATTGGTCTTGGGGAAAATATATTTCTCAGAATGGGTGAAAAATTAGCATTAAACAAAAAAGTGAAGAAAAAAAACATATTTTCTTTTTTTGCCATCGCTCCAACCCAGATGTTCTAATGGCCAACCCTTAACAGTGATGTATTACTGCTTATTATGTCTTTCAATCAGACATTCCTCTGTTTAGTTTAAATGCTCTAGATGTTGAAAACACCCCTAAGGCTCTGCACAAGCAAAAATGTATTACAAATATATACATTATATAATAAATATAAATACTGCCCTCATTTTTCCCGCATATTTCATTTTACTTACGTAACAGTACCGGGTATTAAGCATCGAATGTTGATTCTCTAGGTCAAGGTTCATAAAGTTTGAGTCAAAATTCTGTCACTTGAAGTTGTTTTCAGAAAGTTGGTCATAAATTTCATGACAATGTCCATTGGTTTATTATGTAGAATCATGAAACTATTGTCTCATAGCATCATGAAATAGCATTCTTGTGTCTGTTACAGTGACATATTTTGAGAAACTTGTCCAAATATTTTTAAAAAATTGCTATTTTTAGAACAATTCCATAAAGCACAATGTTGAAGAAAAATTATATTTTTTGACACATTTTAAAACCCAGATTTTTGAAAGAAAAAGTTCACCTAATATCCGCAATATATAATTTCCCCAGACTACAATTTGAGATATGCCATAATATCTCTGCCATAGGAACGTATCATAAATATTATAATACCACCAAAATGACCACTATCCACTAAAATAAAACCATAATTTTCTAGAAAATTAAGCGGGCGTCTAGTCAATATTCTTATATTGGCCGGAAGTACAAGTTTATTGGAAAATGTATAAAATCTTGGTTTTTGCAAACATCACGGAGGGGAGGGGAGGGGGAGGGGAGGGGTGGTTCAAATTATTATACATGTATGTTCACAGTACTATTTGTGTAACCCTTCTAACAGCTGCAGTAAAATAAAGTCACTTTTTAGGCTTATACAAAGATGTTGCTTTTTTGCAATTTCCTGTACCAATCAAGTGCGCCACATACGGTGAAATGAAGAAATGTCAACTGCGCATACATATTCAGGTCTCATGCCACTAATTAACCAATGTCAATTTAAATGCCTAGCAAGGACCAATGAAATTTTTTAAATATTATTTTTCTCAGGCGCTCCCTGTTTGAGGGCGTAATCACCTGGGTCAGAGGTGAGACCAACATGTGGTCTTTTGTTTACTACTTAGCGGCTGTGTACCTGTGGGTTTATTCTGTGTGTTAATGGATGTTCTAATCTTGGTGTTTTTCCAGTGATTTCTCTTGGTGCAATCCAAATACAGTAGATGTGTCTTGTTTACCTGAGATTTGCAAGAGTTTGAGCTGGCCAACATGTTAGTTTTTTTCATATGGTTGATTACTGGCATGTTGATTTCCCATTTTTTGAGCCATATTTTCAACTTTCTTCGTCATTTTCATATAGCAATCTCGTCATATGTTAACATTATCGTCTATGGAAATTCAATTAGTGGTATGAGCCCTGCAGAGAACATGTCACTGTTTCTGCCTGCTGTAATTAGGAAAAATATGTTAACATTTAAAGATAAACGGTGCCGTCGAGTGGAACGACATACTAGTATTTAAATTGGTAGTGCTCAAGTCCGAGTTCTTGACGTGGTATAAACCTATATGTACACGTATTTCCTGCAACGTTTAAAGCGCGGTGGTCGTCGCGCAGCGCGTGTTCGAATTTCATGTAAATAAACAATGTATTTTACACGTGTTGTATACGTCGCTATGAGTCCCATATCGAACAGGACGCGGCGGGACGTCTGCCGCCCTTTAAAAATCAACCGAAGTGCATTGTTGTACGCTACATGTAGACCACGCAACTTCTCCATACATTTAAGCAATAGTTACTCTATAAAAATGAGCGAAAAAAGTACATTTCACAATTCGGCAAGATCAGTAAAACACACCTTTGAAAATATAATGTAAGTGAGAAGTAGCGAATGGTGGAATGCTCA